GTCCTGGAGCCATCCCCTCTCCAGCCTGCTCAGGTGGGTACCCGGCGCCGCGCAGCCGCCTGGGGACTAGTCTCCTGGGTCCCTAGAGAGATCGAAGCTCCTGAGACCCGGGCCGGGTGGGTTTTCGGGGTGCCCCGAGGCGAGGGCAGACGGCCATCGGGATCAGGGACGCTGGTGCGGGTCCGAGAGGCGCCGGGCTCTCCAGGTCTGGTCTCCTGACCTGGCTACGAAGAATGGTGGGAGTGCCCAGGTGCAGCCTCTGCCGCATGGCACAAGCCCGGCTTCACCCTCGCCCGCTCTAGGGTGCCAGCGGTCGTATGCAACAAGCCACTTTAGAGCAAAATATATATATATATACCTGGTATTTTAAAAATCTCCCCCTCCTCCTGCAGAAACTGCCCATCCTTGCAGAAGCTCGCGGCGCCCCTGGAGGAAATTCTCTTGCTTCCCTTCTTTTGGGAACTTGGAATCTCCCACCGGGCTCCGCAGGACCTGGCTTTTGTTGTTTACATTAAAATTGTCTCTGGACTTAACACCTTTAGGGTGTTCTTTGAGCCCTTCTTGTGCTTGAAGCTCAGACTCGAGTTCTTGCAGTGGACCTCATTGGATTAGTCAGCCTGTGAAGTGGCAGATGCAGGATTCATTAGGGAGCTTATTCGTCAAGAAATAAAACTTCAGAAAAGACTTGTTTAGGAAACGGAGGGGTGCTCTCAGCTTCTCCACGGTCTGTTAAAATAAACACTTGAACCTGAGCTGTAAGGATTGAGAAGGAAAGATCACTTTGCATGGCTTGGAGGGAGGGATTGTCAGCGTGAGTAAAATGTGTTGGCTCAGCAGCACTTTCATAGCCTGTTTTCTTTTCCTTCCTTGTTCTTTTGAGGTTTTTAAGAAGTGGAAGTTCATTTAGAAACGGCGTGGTTTGCTTTTGTTCCCCTTTAGTTTATGTAACGTCAATTTGGGTGAGCTTGGACCAAGGAAGCCCGAGGCTCTAATAAATTGTTAGGCATTAAGCACCGCACCGAGTGGGAACCCCGCTCTAATATAGAAAGATTTTTTAAAGTAATATAAGAGAAGAACTCTCCTTAGGCGTTGTTTTGGGGGTTAAGACACCAGGACGTGCAATTTCTCCAGCCCCTGGAAAAATGCTGCCACACAATTGGTACTCAGGGTTTGTTGAGTAAGAGTATTAGAGGACAATACATTTCTAAATAAACTGATGATGATACCGTAATTGTTAGTAGTTCAGAGAAATGAGATGGATATCCGGGTTTCCTGGAGAAGGGGGACTTCAGCGGGCTTTGAAGGAAGTGAGGGTCTGGGTAGGCGAAGTGGAGTGTGCCAGGTGGGCACACCTGGAGGGGAGGCACGGAGTGGGAAAGGAACCTTACGTGGTGTGAGTGGGACCCTGGAAGAACTTCCTGCTGGAGCCTTGAGTGGTAATGATAAATGGATGGATGGATACATTTCCATCTTGCAGAGTGATTTCGTCTTCTCATGTTTATATGCCCAGTCCCTCGATCACAGGTGTTGAAAAATGTACTTCAAATGAGCGGATTGGGTTTTGAATCTTCCCTGGACTGCTTTGATATTTCTGCACTTCTTGAAGTCTGAGAGATGAGAAAGACTCTACAAGTTCGGAGGTGCCTGTTTCTAATGAGTGGAATGATGTAGCATTTGGAGGTTTGCCAGAGATACCGTAACCCCCAGTACATCCTGCTGAAGTGAGAGACTTTCACATCTCTCCTGCCTTCAAGCACAGGTCACGTCACTCTTGGTGCTCTCACTCAGAGACTGTTGAAGTTTTGCTGAGGAGTTAGCTGCCATGTAGTTAAGCAAGACTAGGACGTCTTTGATGAGCACAGTGTTTTTACTTTGGGCCTCCTGCTAACAGAATATGTCCAGTTTGTCATAAAGTGTGCATGGTGGTGTCTCCATTCCCTGCGTAGGAGAGCTGATTCCTGACTTGCTCCTGTGGCTGTTGGAGAGATGGTAGATAGCCTAGGAGCCAGCGTCTCCTCCCTGTGACCCCTGGGGGCAGGAGGGGATCTGCAGGCACTTGTTCCACTGGGTGTGTCATTAATTAGAGGTGACTGGTTCAATCTAGCCAGAGACTTGTAAGCAAACGAGACCGTGTGTTTAAATAATCCCTAGGTCAGCATGTCCTGCCTTTTGAGATTTGGGAATAGGAGAGGGTGGGTCCCCCTGCCCACCACCACCCACCTCAGGGACCCTGGGTGTTTAACTAGAGCAGTGGAATCATAGTTTCAGACGTGGCCTTTGCATTAGCTTCCCTGCCCTGCCCCCACCGGTACTGCCAACTACAGGAGACGTTTGTCCAGCTGTTTGAGTGACCAAGTAAAGCGGGCAGGAGTAGGAGCTTACAGCTGCAGTGCATATAAATGTTCCAAACCACTCGTGTGCTTGTCTTTTCATTTATCGATCTGTCCCTCTAGTCCTCTGTGTATGACCCTCCCCCTCATTCCACAAAAGCTTTGTGCTTATTCTTAAGCTACACAGTGCCCCTCCCCTTTTCTCTTCCACTGCTAGGGCTTAGGACTTAGCTTCGCAAAGCTGTCCCTAATGACCCCGGTGCACACTGATCTCTCAGGCTTCCACTTTGGAACCCATCATCTGTAGTGTAACAGTAGCTGTCGACGAATACTTTGCTTGCCCAGCTTCCACAGTTTATTGGTTTGGCCTGTCAGTGTAATGCTTACATGTAGTAACCCTCACCATTGAGAACGTACCTGAGAGTCAGAAAGTCAGCAAAGAAGAGTTCTAGAGTAAAAAAAAAAAAAGTTGTTATTAACTGCCTGCCCTTCCGCCCGTCCCTTATTTACCTCGTACATTCAGGGGCAGCGGAGTACTGTGCTGAGGCCACTTGTCTGGAGTCAGACCGCCTGGGTTCATGTTACTACCGCCACTGATGATACAGATTACTCAGCCACTTTGAACCTTAATATCTGCACATAAAATGGGGATAATATTATCTGCCTTATAGGACTGTCTTAGGTAATATGTGTAAGAAACCCCAATTTCTGGCACATTGTAAGTACTGCTAGCCTTCCTCAGTTCAGTTCAGCACATACAAGTTTGCCATGCTGCACCTGCTGTGTGTGAAGTATCATGCCAGACATTTTAAGTGGTGTTATTTCTCACTTGGGTGTCTTTTCCAAACTATGGCAGATAAGAAACAGGAAATAAGGGAACGGACCTGCTCAGGCAGGCACATTAATGCCACTCACTTACCAAATGTTTACCCTTCATCTGCTTTGTGCCAGGCCGATTGCTAGACACACTGCTAAGTTTTAGCTCAGACCTGGCATGTAGTAGGTACTCTATCAAAATTAGTCCCACCCACGCCTTTCCCCCCAGCAGCCTTGCCTTTCTCCCTCCTAAACTCCAAGGGCCCTTCTGCTGCCTCTGTAACTTGTTTCCGAGCCTACACAGTCCAGCTGGCTCACCGCTACCTCCCTAACTTTCTAAATAAACTTTCTCACACTTTGAATAAAAAAATTAGTCCGTCTCCCAATACATGGTCTTACAGTGTTTATGGTAGTATGTTATGTCTGTATGATTGACAAAATTAGAAACAGAAAAAGCAATTAAAATCTAGGATCTCGCGCCCCCCCCCCCCCCCCCGCTGTAATTTAAGACTATTAACATAGAGGTATATAGCCCTATACACCAGGTGAGGCCCCAAGTATCACCAAACTATAGCTTAGTGCTATAATTCCTGTTTATTATGACTCTTAGCCATTAAATAAAGATTAAATTATGTTCACTATAGCTTGCTAATGAAAGTAGGAAAAACATTTTGGTTTTCTATCCAAAATGATTCAGA